AGCATCAACGCCCAGCCCGCCTTCTGCTGATGATCAAAGGAAAGGCAAGGCGCCGCCTCCACCTCCCCCGTCTGCGCCGCCTGCTCCGAAGGTGGCTGCCATCAGCCCACAGAACACTGGCAACAGCACAGGGAGTCGACGAGGTGCTCCGCCGCCCCCTCCCCCGACGCGGAGGACTCGAATGGATACGACGGATGACGAGCCTGCCTCGAAACGTGAACCGTCTCCTCCCAGGAATCGGTTTCGTGCGCCGCCTCCGATTGCGGATGCTGGTAAATTTGCTCACACACCATTGCCGCCTACTCGCCAACGGGCCTCGTCGAATGCTACACCCGGTCCTCCACCCCCTCCACGGCCCCCAAAGACTCCAATGGATGAGAACCAGTCCCGCTTTGGCGTTCCCCCGCCGTTCCAGGGCGAGCGCAAGGTGTCTGCCCCTCCCGCACCTCCCAGTCGGCCAGGGCCTTCAGGGCCACCCCCTCCTCCTCCACGCACTATGAGCCCTGCAGCACCTCCACAGCTACCTCCCAAAGTTCCCAATGCCTCTGCAGCAGGGCCTCCACCTCCGCCGCCCAGAAGTCCTTTGCAGCCGCCGCCCCCACCTGTGCCTTCCGCTTCCCGGCCTATTCCTCCTCCCCCTACGTCAAGCGTGCCGCCTCCTCCACCCCCGCCTCCTACGTCGAGTGTCCCCCCTCCGCCTCGCCCTCCGCCAGTTTCAAGTGCTCCTCCCCCGCCTCCACCTCCACCATCGCATCCTTCGCCTAGCGCCGGACCTCCCGCGCCGCCTCCGCCCCCACCGCCACCTACCAGCTCGGTCCCACCTCCACCCCCTCCGCCTCCGCCAGCACCAGGAAGTTCAATTCCACCACCACCTCCTCCTCCACCGCCAGGAGCTGGTGCTCCTCCTCCGCCGCCCCCGCCTCCTGGAGCTGGTGCGCCTCCGCCGCCGCCTCCTCCAGGTGGAGCTGCTCCGCCCTTACCCAAGCCCGAAGGTGGTAGGAATGACCTCATGGCTGCTATCCGGGCGTCTGGAGGAAAGGGCGGCGGTGGTCTGCGGAAGGTCAAGGATACCGAGAAGCGTGACCGGAGTGGAGCCGCCGTGCCTGGCTCAGCCAGCGAATCGTCCGCGCCGACCCCAAGTGGTGGTGCTGCTCAAGGAGGCCTGGCAGGTGCTCTGCAAGACGCTCTGGCGAAGAGAAAGCAGAAGGTCAGCGGTAGTGGTAAGTAGACACCCCCGAATGGTCAGTAATACGCGTACTAATGTGGACGATAGATGACGAAAAGGAGGACGATGACGATTGGTGAGCCTTGAAGGTACTCTCTAATTTTTCCTAAAATCAATGTTGTTGCCGTGGCTTAGACTTGTTGGATTTTGTGTGATACCTCCGTCGTGCAGCCTCTATATCCTTTCCTGTTCTTAGCATATATTCCCATCCGGTGCGTGGAGGTGAATGTCTGGTTTTTCTTTCTAGTCAGCATTTCCTGCAGGTGATCAAAAGTATGCACTGGAGATTGGAGCTGTCTGACAGCGGGTCCTTTCCCTAGTCTCATGAATGGAAACACAATGCTTGTGTATTTTGGGAACTTGGACCTCAGACGCTAGTAGGTCATTATTACAAGATGAGTGTTTTCATTTATATGGACATTTCCCAGCGTAGTCCACCCTATTGACAGTAAATAATAAGAGGTGACCAACATCCTAGTATTGACTACACTCATTCTCATGGCTCTAGACTTGACCACTTGGTCTGGTACCTTGCTAATGCAATGCCTGGTGGGGCATCCCTGCGGCTCAAAGAAAGTAACCAATGGTTCGGGCTTTTGGCATTTCCGATCTGGTGCCAAAGTGGGGCCTTCTAGAAAGGACCAAGCTCAATTAGGTAAGCTTCATGTGACAATTGTCAAAATGGAGACTTGCTTTATAGACTCGGCATATATTAGTCTACCGCCATCGTGTATCTTATAGCAAGTGGAACAGGGAATATATGATTTAGTTAACGGGGGAAAGATTACATCTTCATGGCGAGACTGGCTGTGGAACGTGACGAGGAAAGAGTAAGTTCGTGTTCAGTAGTTATGCCCTGTGTAAATTCACTCGAATGAGACCCGCAAAGAAAAGGGTCTTTAACCAGTCATTGATATTTGCAACTAGAAAACGCAACCTTTTTTGAGAGTATTTCATGAAGAGCTTTGTCATTTCTGGTATGAGCTCTGCCGACCATCCTCGTAAGGACGTATACGGCTTCACCATACTGTAGACCAAGATTATCCGATGGACATCAAATCTGTGCGTACCGCAGTAATGTATTGCTAGGAAAGTGATATACTAAGAGTCAGCCATAATATCCACCATACACTTTTCCAAGATAAAGTGATCAAACAATCATGGGAAAAGCGAGGGAATATACTGTTGAGTCCGGACCATTCAGCGCTGCCGGATTATCGTTGGTCCGAGCGGCGCAACTTGGATGCGGGAAAAAAGATGGGCGATGATATGGTTTGTTTTGTATCCAGATGAGTGCTGGTCGTCAATCTGGTCGGTGAAGCCATAGTACAAGGCAGAGATGCTGTCTCCGTCGTCTATGAAGCCTTCCGCTCCATCAGCATCTCTTCTTCGGTTTCTGCGATCACAATCCGATTCCTTTTTCTTCACAGCCAACCCAACTACTTGCGGACGATCTCTCAATAATGATCCCCAGTCTCATCATCAGCATCACACCTTCTCGCTAAGCAGGACGTCGGACTGGACAAATATAAACCCTGCACCATGCCGTGCGAGCCTAGAATCATGCCTCTTTCCGTTACCGGGCCTTTCGTCTAGAACTCGCGGTACTGTACGATGTCGGGCGTCGCTGGCTCAACGCTCTTCACCGAGTCCATTCTCCCTCCCTAATGCGCAGTTTTCACGCGCTTCGTCCACCAAGAGCAAGAGCTTGTGGCGTAGGCTCTTCGACTTCAAGCGAAACAAAGCTGCCGAATCCAAGTCATATCTCCGCCAGCCACCTGCATTGATCAATGACGGAACAGAGGGAAGCTTCAATATTGGCCGCGGATTAGTGGCAAAGGCATCTAATGAGCCGCGCCTTCGATGTACCGAGTTCGACAGCACTGGAAATGTTACTCTTGTGAATGGCGAATTCAAGAAGAGTGAGCTGATTGCCAAGGTCAGTATTGGCGGCTCTGCGAATTGTTTCATAACTCAAGAAGCGACACAAGACTGACATCAAGAATAGTATGGTCTCCTACCTCGGGACTTGCGAAAAATCGACTCGTCTACACTGCCTCATATCCTAGTGCGACCGCGTGCCATTCTTATCAACCTCCTACACCTTCGAGTCTTGATCAAGGCTGATCGCGTTCTCGTTTTCGATGCGTACGGATCCACGGACTCATACATGCAATCGCTATTTGTGTATGATCTCGAAGGAAAGCTACAACAGAAACAAGGACAGACTACGGGAGCATTGCCTTACGAATTCCGAGCGCTGGAAGCGGTCTTGATCAGTGTCACAAGTGGCCTGGAGGAGGAATTCAATGGTGTTAGAGATCCGGTCGTGAGCGTGCTCAGAGCTCTGGAAGAGGACATCGACCGCGACAAGCTCCGACATCTGCTTATTTACTCCAAGAAGCTCGGCACGTTCGAACAAAAGGCTCGCCTCGTGCGTGATGCCATCGACGACCTGCTGGAGGCAGACGACGACTTGGCCGCAATGTATCTTACTGAGAACTCGCAGGGTGTCCGACGCGAGGAACACGAACATCAAGAAGTCGAGATGCTACTGGAGTCGTACCACAAAGTTTGCGACGAAATTGTGCAGGCCAGCGGCAACTTGGTGACCGGAATTCGCAATACTGAGGAAGTGTAAGTCATCCACATTGTCTCAAGTTACTGCGTAACTGGATACTGACTCATTTACAGCGTCAAAGCCATCCTGGACGCCAATCGCAACTCCCTCATGCTTCTTGACCTCAAATTCAGCATCGGGACTCTCGGACTCGCAACCGGAACCTTGTTCTCCGCACTTTACGGAATGAACTTGAAGAACTTCATCGAAGAATCGGACTTGGGCTTTGGTGCCGTGTCCGTCACATGCTTTGCCATTACGATCGTTGTCTGTGCTTATGGGCTCGCCAAACTGCGCAAGCTTCAGCGCGTCCGCATGTGGGGCGAATCCGGCGTCGGCGGCGCATCCATGGTCTCTCTGCCTACCAGAGGTGGTGCACTAGCCAGCCACCGGCCAAATTGGCGCGCGGATACCGTTGAGCCTGTTTGGGGTAGTCTTCCCGGTGAAGGACGCATGGAGAGGATTAAGCGTATTAAAGACAATGCCGCTGCAGCTGCAGCCCGATCTGCAACCCTGAAGGCTGCTAATGTGCCTCCAACGTCGTCTGGGGACGCTACCAAGCAGTCAGAAAGTTCTTAAATCACATCTTTATGCACCGAACAAACAGTGGGAGCTCACAGAACACGGCCACTGTCACAATTGACCCACTCTCTGCTCTACCCCATCTAATCCTGTCCTAACCATCATCCCTGCTGTGGTTCAATGGCTCAGGGAGGATGACCCCGGGAGTTGAGCACGAAGTTTATCCGCTAGAGCTTATAGAATCGCATGGCAGGAGTTTGGCTTGCGGTTTGGATTCTGATACTTTCTTATTTTTGGGACTATTTTTTTTTTCCCAGCTAGTACTGTCCTTCGCTTCATGGGAGGGTCTGTATCTAGCTTGGTATACATACCACACTCAACTCACTCATGGGTTTCTTCATTTCATGGGAGCTAAATGTGCTCTGTAATGTGTCTATAGACGATAGATGTCGAGCCAGACACCGACAATGTTACATACATATGTACATTAACAACAATCAACATCATCATGTCCTTTCTCTTCCATGTACATACACAAAATCTCTATTTAATTTGCATTTCTCAGTAACAGTTTACGGGGTATCTCATCTCCACACACACATCCTATCTATACTCACAACACAACAAGCATATTCAATGTCCACCCTGCTTCCCCATCCCAGACCCCTTATTCAACCCCTTCGCCCTCTCAATCCAGATCTTCCCAGCAGCCTCAACGCCCCCCTCACGCGAACACTCCCTCCGTACAGCATCCATAACCCGCTCCAGGACCTCCTCTCCATCACCATCACCATCACCACCACCATCAGCAGCAGCAGCAGCAGACCCACTCGCTCTCTCCTTCCACACCTGCGTCGTCCGCCTCCTCCCCCCAATAACAGCCATATTCCTCGTACTCGGAATCCGCAACAGGGTCCGCTCAACCTCGTACCCGATTTCCTCCGCCACACTCATCGTCTTCGCGGTCAACGAGCCATACATGGACTTAAGGAACCCTGCTTCCGTAGTCTGCGCATCCTGTTTCTCTTTCCGGAGGGATTTGAGGTCTCCTGATGCTGGATTGCCCTCTTCCTCGTTTGATTTATCCTTCTTGCCCGCCTTAGGAGGCGGATACCGGAACCTCGCACCAGAAAGTGAATGCGAGCAGCACGGGATAGCAATAAAAGGGGACGGCGACTCAGGGCAAAGAAGCGTAGCCATGAGGGGCGTCCAGACTGTGAGTTCATCTGCGTGGTTGGAGATAATAAATGTGTCTTTTGGAAAAGACCCCGTGTGGGATTTTATGGTCAATTCTTGGAGCAGAGAGGGGTTCGTTTCGGAGAATGGTTTGGGGATGTAAATTTCCTCTGTGAGTCGTGATTGCACGGACTCGGGGAATATACTCCATGTTTTGCGTCGACGGGCGTCGAAGCCAAAGCCTTTGTAGCCTTCCATGAGGAGGACGTACACAAGGACGCCGTTGCCGCAGGCTACGTCGACGAAGCCGGGGAAGGTAGAGGAGGAGGATGTGGTGGTGGAGGTGGAGGCTTGCTCGTCTGCTGGGACGGCGCCGTACATGCTTCTCCAGAGTTCGATGAGAAATGCGGTGATTGAGAGGTCCTCGAAGACGTGCTTGGAGGGTTCGGTGCTCTCGACCCAGTTTTGACACAAATCGGCGGCGTATTTTGCTTTCAGGCGTGTGTACGTGTTTTGCACCAGGTGCTGCGGGATGACGTTGTCTTTGGCTGGGTTTTGGCTGCCGCCGCCGCCGTTGTCTGCTTTGCCGGTTAGACGGGTGCCGCGGGCGAGGCGGATTTGGATGGTCAGGAGGGCTTGTAGGGTGCGCTCTAGGCGGTTTTGGATGGGTTCGTTGGGGAAGAGGAGGAAGTGGATGGACATGGTGCCTGGGTTGGGGGAGGGGTCTGATGTTTTGGTGGTGGTGTTGTAGTCGTATAGGAAGGCTAGGGAACGGAGGAGAGGGTGGTAGAAGGGCATGTCTTCTTTGGAGGTGATGTGGGGGGTGTAGACAGCGAGGTATCGGTTGATAGATCCATCGCTTGTGTCTGTGGACTCGTTGATGTGTTCGTAGAAGTGACATGTTTGGTCCATGACTCTGTCTAGGTTCGGGTTTCTGGGGATGAGTCTCCTCACTACCGTTCTGGTGAGAGTGAAATCGGGGATTTCTCTCGCGGGCGTGGGTTCCACGTGCTCCTCGGTGGTCTCCAGGTTGCTGTTCCCATTCTGAGCGAAGGACTGCTCTTTCTGCTGCGGTGTCCGCAGTGAACCCCAGCTGTCGAAAAGGATGTCTGCCCGGTATAGATGGGTGGAGCTCATGTTGGGGTTGGCCAGGAGAAAGAGGGTCATATCTTGGATGACTTCTGGTTTGAATGAGAGGCCATACTCAGCCAGGTCTTGAGATGTGACCCATTCTTCGGTGCTGCTTGCCAGTACTGAAGAGGGCTCGAGAGTCTCAGCAAGTGGTTTGCCGGAGAGACGGGTCAAGTCTCGTGGATTCTTTCTTTTATTTCCAGTCATTGTCCTGGAGTTGAGGGGTATATATGGCTATGAATAGTGTGATTGGCTGACTCAAATATACTGCCTCTTGTCACAGATGCAGATGACTGGCTCTATATCCACTCTAGTAGGAGTGTGTCTTCTTTACAAGAGATCGATATTCGTCTTGAAGAATTCTGCCATTGGTCTCCGATTAGTCAGTGGATTCATTGCGGGGGAAATGGCAGAGACCTTGATTTATTTTACTGTGAAGTGCTCTTGTATAGGTGCTGATGTGTAAGTTGCCTCTAGTACATGCAATTTCAGACACCAACAGATGCCCCTCAGTGGTATACTTTTTGATATCGAATTCCCCTCCATCGCGTGCAGACATAATATTAGTCATCGAGTACTATGCATCATGTGACAATCATTTGTGCCCATGCCATCTACTATACGTATCTCCACGAAGCATTGCTTTTGGGATAGCTTAGATAGCTACTGCCATGTCGCCAAAGGGGACTGGTCAAGAAGGACGACTCTTTTCGCGCTAAATTAGAGGGTTATCTTCAATCTCTGGCCTATCTCCATCCTTCCATTGACGCCTCGCATGTTTAGGCAGATTATGCAGTAGGCAACAGAACCAATGGACTGACTATTGTACTATCAATGCAGCCTAATTATGAGAGCTGACCAACTCGGACTAATTCTATTAACTAGTTGAAGGAGCCTACTGCTAGTTAGTTAGAATTTAGGGGCCCTTGCTGATTTGAAGTTAGTGGACAGATAACACGCCGTTCCTCACGGGGATTGAGATTTGAGAGCTTTCCATCTACACCCGCTCATCTTTGCTTTTTTTATTCTCCGGTCGCCTTTTTTCTGGCTCCTCGTGTCTGCATGTACTATGTAGGTACGGCATGCATAGTTTCGCACCCGCCGATTGAGTTATTGATAATTTAGACCTTGGGATGTCCTGCAGCGCCGAAAAGCCTCGTATGGGCGGCCGAAGGAGGCCCGGAAATGCAGGCATCGGTTTGCCTTTCACGTACATCCGCTGAGTCAGTGGGCAGCCGCTGTTTGCATCGAGGCTCCACTTTGCGCTTTTCTTGCCATCCCGGCTTCCGCATATTATTTGTCTCTTAGACCTTCCTCGAATTGATTGCTTTTATTTGCTTTCTTGATACGGAATCGATGGATGCAGGTTGTGGACGCCTTCGTTGCCCCCCCCCTCCCCTCCTCCCAAATATACCTGGTCGCTTGCCTCGCCATGGGTCTGATTGACGTCCTGCCCGCTCTCAATGTCCGAATGTGAAGCTAGTTCGGACTTACGGAGATATACCACGTACTCCGTTGGGTGGGCCGAAATGGACCTACACTACCCAGAAAGTTGCTATTATGTGTCTCCGTACTGTGCTTGCTAAGCAGCACATCAACCTTGCTTAGCATACCCCGTGTCGAAAATCCTGCTCATCGAGTGGGTGAGCATCGTGCAGAGACCGACGATCATCACGGCCTTTATGTCTTGCGGGGTCTCGACGGAGATTGACATGACCATGACGTTTACAAAGTGTATGCTCGCACTAATTGACTAGACTTCAGGTAGTGGGCACTGCCTATCAGGCTACAAAGTACCATTGTATCTTACGATTGCCTTCGCCTATATTACTCCTTATGCACGAAGGATTCAGATGATAAGTATGATTTTTATCAACGCTTTTTACTTGGGGACATCCACAAAATTGGGTATGCCTTTGTCCCCTGGATGAACAGGCTCTCATCGAATCAAATCTGGGGTGACCAATTCTGACACGGCAGTTCTTGAGACTGGTGGGTTCAAAAACGCTAGATGTTTGATGTTACCTCGCACATGTTTCCCATGTTGCTCGTGTTCAAACCCGCAGGGAACGTGACACACCAGAGCCGATCGCCGCAAAAAGAAAGTTCCCAGAGATGAACAGGAGAATAGCAGGCCATTTCGTGTCAACACGCACCACCGCACTAACCGCTTGCTACATTAGCTTGTTCTCAACGAACCATTGCTTTAGCCTCTACGCTCCAGAGGCAATGCGCGCAGTAGCGGCATAACGACTAATATAGCGGCCATTTCCAAGGGGCCGACAGAGAAAGGTGCTAGATCGCTAGGCGACCAACCGTCAGAGACTAGACGTGCGCAACTCCGATATATTGTAGACTAGGCTACGGACTGGCGTTTTCTTGGCGATAACAAACTACATAAACTACAACAAGAACTGAGCAGTTTGGCTACTCGGACATCTTAGACCCTTGGAAGCTTTAGCATGACTCCGCACAATAATGGGGCCATCCGGCGCCCACTTGACTGTACCGTGAACAGTACAGTAATGTTCGCGATGCGCCTGGCTGGATCTCCGCCACTGAGCCAAGATCACAGATGCAAGGTTGAATGAAACTGCCCCCGCGTACTGCCTCGGGAATGCCGAGTGGCTGTTTCCGGTCAAATTTTCAAGATGAGGGGGCTGTGGCTACTTACATGGTTACATCTGTCGCGGGTAGGCCCCATAGGTGTTTCTCCTCTTGACCCTTCTGATCTTGCATTGTGCGTCGAACTCTGGATGAAATCATCCATTGGGGCTAACATACGCAATGATGTACAGAGTCCTCGTCGGTTTGTCCTGGGTCAGAAGGACCACATGAAAGTCCTACGGAGTAGATATTGCAGTAGTTGCAATTAAAGACCTCTCTCTGTCTTACTGGCAACGCCGAAATATTTCAGACAGCCAAGGGGACTCGAATGAACATGGACAATGGCGGGGTAAGACTGCGCGGGTAAGACACTACTAAATCGGATCTGCTGGGATAGTAAGATGCTTGCAGCCAGCGGGTTCAGTGGGTGAGCACCCGCGCAACCGCCATACTTTCTGATCGATCTGGACGGGCAGTTGTGGTATGTACTACTACGAAGTCTGAGTCGAACATACTCAAGATCCTGCAGAAATCGCGACAAGAAGGTTGCTGGTTGGCGGATTGCACGCATGGTCCAGCAACGGGCAGATCTAGGCCCCCGAAGATCAAATTCCTAATGAGTCGATGCCTCCTGCTGAATGCATACCAATCATCATCTGCCAAAACTCTAAGCTTAGCAGACTGAAGGAAATGTAATGTCTCAACCGTGAACAATCAAAATTCTGAAGCAAAGCAATCAGATCCAGTAGTACTACTGGAAGGATGACTGAGAATTCTATTCAAAACCCTCACGCCAGGAGGATTTCTCTTTACCCGCGCGAGCAAAAACCGAAAGTTAAACTGATGCGACCACCATTCATCGATGATTCCAGGGGAAAACAGAAAAGAAAGAAAAAAGAAAAATTGCCCTGTTTCGGTAAGATTTGATAAGTACCCGACCCACCAGACGGTACCATAGATAGTAACAGCAGCTAATAATTGAACAATGTGATTCGTCCTAGGTGTGTCCCAAGTGCCCCAGCTAGCAGAAGCTAGATGCCGGCTAGACTGGCTGGTGTGCTGCTCCACCGGCACTGTTTTGGACAATCCGGTGCATCACCCCTAGAAGGCCTGGACCGGAGGGATTTTCACAGTCTTAGCAAGGAATACAGTCAGTCAGTAGCCTGCATCCTAGGTTCATCATGCGATTAAATTCAGCTGCCCATATCTTTCTCTATCTCTTCCCATCAACTCCATCAGATTAACCAAACATTATCAACTCCAATACCAAGTACTACTGATCCATAGCGAATTTCAATATAGCTAGCTATTAATTAGTATTTTATGTGTCTCATGTTGGGGTAAGAGAATCCACACCCATATCCACATCGAAAGAAAAGGAAAAAAGAAAAATGTATACACACTCCCTATCCACCCTCAATAACCATTCATTCATAAGGTGTATCTAATTTGATGTGTGAGGAATTCCTCAGCCTCATCACATTGCCATTATGATTGTCTATAATATTATTTACTTATATCAATATTTGATCCTCTAAACATCCAATTAATATCAAACATCTAACAAGCCACACCAGGGGAACGGAGTAGAAGGTTTCAGGTTTTCTCTCAGGAGATTACACATAATAGACTAGTTAGTACTCCGTAACTTAGTAACTCCTGGGATAATCTGGAACTCCCCAACCAAGCCGGGATATTCTGGAACTCACATAAGCATATCTGGAACTTTATTAGTAAGCCGAAGCTAAGCCGCTGGCTCGCTCTCAGTACTAGTAACGTACCTTTCGTTTCTCCAGACCAGATTATTGAACTGACATCAGTGTGTGGCGAGGTGGTCACCTCAAACAACTGAGTTCAAACACACATGCAGCAATCGGAGAGAACTAACCACACATCTAAGTTTAGGGATATAAGTAGAGTATAGTATACCCTCCCGTAAGCAGCATACTTAATTACTAAATTCTAATTCTAAGTAGTTTTAAGTAATTGTTTTGTTAGTCAATAGTTACTTACTGTAAGCAAGCACAAGGCAGCCAGCCAGCCATACGTTGATTCAATTTCAATTTTCAATTTCATTTCATGCATTCATGACATCTCCGCAAACAGGTACGACTGGTATGGGAGAGGGGTTAGGTTGTCGATCCCTACTTCGCATAAAAGGTGTGGCATGTCGGGTTGGACAGTCAACACTGCCCCCCATCCCTTCCCGAATTTGTTGTTTGTTCTTCCCAAGGCGGAATTTTTTCTCCAGGTGACTTGACTGACTGACTGACTGAGACGGAGGGCAACGCTACTACTGTACTGTAGACTAATTAATGCGAGAGAAGGGGACGCATTATGCATCGATTGCATGTCACTTACAGTACTCCGTACTTACAGTGAAGTAAGTGATCGATGGCTGGATCGCCGAGTTGAGGGTGGTTGGGAGGGGAGGTAGCCTGTACTTAGTATCAATCTATAGATTATTGAGAAAAAGAAAATAGGTGTCCTGATTTTCGAGGAGGGATTTGGTATAAAATAAAAGGAGGAGTAACAAATCTTGGCTTGGTTATAATTCTGGGGTTCCTGGAGAAGGGTATCGCTGCTTGTTGAGATCAAGCTTGAGTATTGGCTGGTCATGGTCATACCCATTCGTTCAAGAGGGGTTAGGGAGTCGCTTAGTAATTACAGCACACAAGTAACTGACATACAGACTTGCATACATACTCGGTATTTTTATCTCTGCGGCTGGTTGGTTTGCCAATGATCACCAGATCTGTTCCAAGTAGTGGTAGCAATCTATTCAGGTTCTTCTTACTATTGGGGGGATAGGGAAAGACATGGCGGATCCCCAAGAACTTTTCGAACATGATGGAAAATTCTTTCAGACAACTCAAACTGAATAGACAGACAATTGACTTGATCTTTTCCCCTGTTTGACCTTGTTTCTAGCTATTTACTCGAACCAGCTTAGTGCTGGAGCTGAGACTTGAAAGTAAGTCCCCATAGTAAGATAGAGACTAACTAAAGGAGGGAAAGAGGGGAAGAGGAGTGGAGAGGAGAGGAGGAGGAGAATAGAAGGTCTGCGACCAGGCTGCCGGAAGGTACCCGCTCATTCGTACGGTGGTGTGCGCTCCCAGCTCCATATCGGTTGCAGCAGCATCTTGAGGGCAGAAACTGACCAATCTGTCCGAGGCCGATTGCAGCGGGCGAATCCCGGCCTGACCTCGACCACTAGACGAAGTGGGTTTTTCGGGTGGGTTTTGGTGACGGGAGGATGTGCAGCGGTGGCCGATTGGGTCTTGGCTGCATCATGGGTTGGCTCGACCAGAACCAAGTGGGTTGGTGCTGTCGTGTCTCATCACTCCCATCCACATAATCAGGATCTTTTTAGTTCGGTCATTTGGTGGTCTATTGTTCTTTCGTCGTCATCATCGTCGTGGTCATGATCTATTCTTTTCTGGTCTCTGTGTGTCTGCTTGTAAGTTGTGTGCCGGTTAGACATAGACTAGGTTTAGAGTAGTGCTTGGTAGTGGCAGTGGCAGTGTGTGGGAGGCACTATTCCAAGCCAATGCAATTGTGTCTGTTATCGGCGAGTGAGTGGACTCTTGCTATCTGTGGGCTTGTTTTTTTCAGGGGGTGCTGCTGCTGCATCATCTTTTGTCGCTCTATATCAGAGACGTCAAATTGTGAGTCTCTCCTAATAGGGATAATGTCAGATAGGGGAAGCCAAACATCTTGCTGGATTTTCTTCAGATACGTAAGTATGTCGGTAGTCTATTAAATGAATAGATATAGACGAGATTAATCAATATTGTCCCTTCTCCAGCATTGATGAAAATTGAGATGAGCATTATCATGGGGTTATTACTGTGGAATAAGCTGGGAAGGGAAGAGTGACCAACAAGAAAAACCGGTTTCAACCTGGCGCGGTAGCATCTCCTGGTAAGCGTGGACGATACTCGGAACGGCTTAGACCCAGTGTACAAATTAACCCAGGTACAAGGAGTTTCCAACTAATGTAGGTGCAGTCGTAGGTACCTAGCGAAAATGGACTGTGTTTTTTCCTTCCCCATCCCCTCTCCCGATTCATTATTTACTCTTTCAATTCATTCTCGCTAGTAGCTGTAGTGGTTTTATTTTTGTTGTGGTGGTTGTTATTATTATTATCGTTACTATTGCTATCAATTTGTCTGGTACAAATGATCTAGCCGATGGCTGGCTTGATGAGGGGGGACAATCATCTTATTATAATAGTACACTCTTCTAATAATCAAAATTCCATACATAATTCCGAGTCAAACTAATAATAATCCTACCTATCCTAGTCATATTCCATTGCACACGGTCTTCTTCTTTCCGATCGTTAATTAGTTAGTCTACAATTAGTATCCCCTCCCCCCGGTGGCCGATTAAGACCATCGAGATTATTGGGGCTTTTTTGGGTCGCGCAATCTTTCCCTCTCACACTCTTTTCCCTCCCTCATCTTCCTATTGGCATCCCGTTTTGGAGGGGCGCGATATTCTTGGGACATTCCTTTCGGACCATCAGTCAGACTTTCTGCTTTCGCATGCAAAATCCGGGTTCCCCTTCTCCGTTGACAGTTGTCGCTCAGTCCGCCTCTTTTCCTGCCTCCGTTTCCGGATCGAGCCCTGGCGGGGGATCCACGGCCGTTAGAGACTTTGGAAAACCAACAGAGAAAAATAGAAAATTAAAAAAAGAGAAAAAAAAAGAAAAATTAAGATAAACCGTGAAAGCTAAAA